AGCGGCCGGGGCGGCGGGGCGGGCTGTAGAGGCCGCGGACCGGCGATCCTCTCCTCGCGTCGAACGGACTGCGGCACCGTCACCATGTCCCTGGCGGCCTCGGCGGGCCGGGGCCCGGGGGCCGTGTGGTCCCCAACGCACGTGCAGGTGACAGTGCTGCAGGCGCGGGGCCTGCGGGCCAAGGGCCCCGGGGGCACGAGCGACGCGTACGCGGTGATCCAGGTGGGCAAGGAGAAGTACGCCACCTCGGTGTCGGAGCGCAGCCTGGGCGCGCCGGTGTGGCGGGAGGAGGCCACCTTCGAGCTGCCACCGCTGCTATCGACCGGGGCCGCGCCGGCGGCCGCCGCCACCCTGCAGCTCACCGTGCTGCACCGCGCGCTGCTCGGCCTCGACAAGTTCCTGGGCCGCGCCGAGGTGGACCTGCGGGAGCTGCACCGGGACCAGAGCCGCCGGAAGACGCAGTGAGTGCGGGCCGGGGGAGAGGACGGGGAGCGGAGGCGCGGGCCCCTCGGGCATGGGGCATGGCGGGGAGAATGTGTGGTCGGGGCGCCGAGATCCTGTTGGAGTGAGCGCGGCGGTCACCGCGCTGCTGGGTCCCCAGGGGCGGACCGAGAGAGGCCTTTCGAGAGGGATCCCCTGGACTAGTAATAACGTAGCTTTAACTTCTTCGGCTGCCATACCCCAGCTGTCCCAGTATGTGGGCTCTTTGAAAGGAGGACGGGGTTGGGAGAGTGTATATCTGGGGCATTTTTGAATCTGCTGGACGTTGCTCAGCGCGTGGAACCTAGTAAGCCCTTAATGAATTTTTGATGAGTTGAAAATATATGTGGGCTGGCAAACACCTCTTATTAGTGTGAGTAGTGTGTCTGATGCACGCCTTAGCTTATGCGGAAAGCCTCCTGGGTATTTCACTGACCTGGACGCTGAGCTGAGAATGACCGGGCCAGGGCGCAGGGAGGATTAACTGGAGGAGTGAGACCCACTGAAGCTCCCTGGCCCGAGAGGCTCACCCAGGGACAGAGCGGGGGCGTTACAGTGCGGGGTGGGTGGAGGTGGGGGGCTGGGGAATGGGGAATGCAGGCTGCCCGGTGATGGCTATCCCTCACCCCCACCTCACAACTGCAGAAGGGGTTGGTGAAGAGAATTTGCCCCTCCCTCCCCGCTCTCTTCCCCAAAGAATGGTAGAACAGTTTGGTTTTAACTTTCAAACTGAAGAATGTTAACCCTGTTTGCCCTGGGCCCCAGGTTAGTAAGGATTTCCCAGTGATGGCTGGAGCAAGGGTCTGAGACCCAACTGGGAAGCAGGCATTGTTTCTCATTGGAGTTTGTCAAGTTCTCTCTGGTCCTACTCCCAGTGGATAGCTGCTCACCTGTAGCTCCCCAGTCAAGAGTTCTGTGTTCGAGTTTCTCACTCCTGCAGGGAGAGCTGGGCAATTCACTCCACAGTGTTATGGATTTATTTCTTCTCTTTCACAGGTGCTTGGAATGGAACATTTGATTATGCTAATCTAGTATACCAAAAGCTCGCCTCGCTTAGCTTAATTGGTTACTTTGCTGGATCTTAAATATGCAGGCAGTCACGTTACCGCCTAACTGCCCCAGTTTAAGGAGCGCACTGATTTACTTTGTGTGTTTTAAACAGTATGTTAACTTTCCCTGGTGAAGGAAACGGGAAAAGCCAGAGGGTTTGAAGTTACCAGACTCCGTTTTCTGTCCAGTGGCTCCAATTTCGGCATGCCTGCTTGCAAATGTAATACCTGATTCTCTTATCTGGCCGAAGATGAATAGGCATTTCTGAGCTCAAATCAGATAAAACTAGAGAGCCTCGAGGTGAGGATGGATGGGGTATCTCATGGCATCAATTTACAAGCCATAAGGTGAGCAGTGTCTTTGCTAAGCAGGGGCTGAAGCACTGCTAATTTTCCATTTGATCAAACGACATTTGGGGCTTTGAGTTGGCTTCCTTTCCAGCCTCAAATGAGCACCGTTGACCGTCCTTTATCTTGCCCCATCCCAAGATGTGTGGATATTAACTTCTGACTCTGCCATCCATTTCTTATGTGAACACCTCATTCCCTTGAAAGACAGATTGCATCTCCCTGCCAGGGACAGGGATTTCAGATTCCTGGCTTTGATGCCCACTTTGGTCCTGACTCATTGTTGGGCTTCTGGCTGTTCCGTCTCTAAACACCCAAGTTTCCCTATTTATAAAGGGAGCTTGTTGCCAGACTTAATTGATCTTTGTAAGATGTTTCTGGATTTGTGAATTAATGGGACCCATGTATAGATTCAGAAGGTTCTGTTATTGCTTTGTGAGGAATGGAAACCTCCCTAAGCTCCCTATGTCAGGAAGAGTTCAGTCTCTGCATCTTCATTTTTCTCATCCTCCCCAATGTACTCCTAAACCCAGGTGGTTATTCCTGTCTCTGTTACATGAGCTGATTACCACTTAGTCACAGTATCAACTTGTAGGAAAATGGCGCTTAATTGATGGTTTTTTAATAACTGCAAAGGAAGACTTCTTTGCTCCTCTATCGGTAGGTGAAATTGCAAGTTTCCTGGGACTTTCCGAGGTGCTGGGGAACCCAGTTAAACTGAGCCCTGGTTTTCAGGGCTGATGCCCTGGTACATCACTTGGGTGCCCAAGATAGCTGACAGTTGGAAAGTGAGACATACTGAGAGGCAAAAGTTTAACAGAAAGAAACTGGTTGGGCTAGGAAAGTCATTTGACCTAGTTATTAATGGATTGACTCCACCTTAGACGTTAAAACCAGAAACAAAACAAAAGCTCAAATCTTGGTCTATAGGTTTGTGTGTGTGGGTATGGGGGTGTGTGTGTGTGCACGCGCATGTGTGTTAATCTCTAAGAAAGAAGAGTTGCTGCTATACACTATAGCTTTTGTCATGGTTCTAGAAGCTGAAACTCAAGCCATTAAGAGCCAGCTGAGTTAATATTTCCATTTGTTCTCTTGATATATTTGGAGTCAAGAGAATATGCTTTTTGTAATGACTCAGATTTTGCAGACGTCAAATTTAGTGTGATAACACACATCTTTAAGACACCAAAGAGGCTGACATATAGATAGGATACATTTAATAGGGAAGACTGCATGGCCCTTTTAGTTAAGAAAAAATTGAAATGAATTGATTTTGCACTTATACTTAGCTATGAAAGACCTGGGGTCTCAGTTGGGCCTCAGTTAACTGGGAATCAGTTACATCTCGTGATCATAGAACAGACATGAATCTGAGAGCAGGACGAGGTCACCAACATGTAGGAGTCTCTGTACAGCTCTCTGGTCTGATGTAGTTTGGGATCCTAAATTGATTAAAAAAAAAAAGACACCTTTTTAGGTACTAAGAGCAATAAAATTTGGAGAAACAGTCTCTTAAGGATAGATTAAAATGAATATTCATTCAGGCTGGTGACTGGAAGGCCATTGTGTAACTAAATATCATGAAACTTAATACTGGAATAGTCTTCCAGATATGAAGAGAGAACATGAGTGATGGAGAGGCATTTTCTTATCTCTCTTGAAGAGTCAAGAGGGAATTCAGTTGCACCTGAAAGGATTTGGATATTAATAAAGGTTAGATATTTGGAAGAACTGTAAGTGTAGTAAGATTCTGTCATAAATTGCCAAGGGAAATTCGGGTTATTAAAAAGAAATAAGGGCTAGATAGTTGTTTTTCTGGGAGAGCTAGATGCAGAGAAATGACTTAGATGATGGTTGAGATCTATAATTCACACATTATGAGCTGTCAGCATTTGTGCTTATACCTGTACGTTTCCTAACCACATTTAGATTATTTGTAACAGAATGGAAAATTCGAACAATGTTGTTACTGCTTCAGTTTTTCCTTTCTTGGGATTCCCCTTAGAGATAACATTGAGCCTTCCTGGAACGCTCCCACCTCCCACCTTTCACAGTCCCTTCCCACTCCAGGGTAGGAAACTGAGCTCAGTGCCCAGGACTGAGTTTGTCTGTCGGCTCTGGGATAAATAACCCTAACCTGCTTACAACAATGGAATGAAATGACTAAGGGGGGAATGTAACTTAAAGGCATTGTTCCGATGATGTGCAAGATGTTCCTTCATGTTTTTTTCATGGTATGCTTTGATTATGATGTCATTTGTAAGACATTCAGTTAGCATGGGGAGAGTTCTACCTGCTTTCCCCTGTCTTGAAAGTTCATCTATACTTTTAGTAAATATTTTTTAATGCCTACTGTGTGCCAGGTACTGGGTGTACAGTGTAAACAAGGGTGACCAAAACAGCCAGGGTCCCTGCTTTCAGGACGCTCAGAGTCTGTGGGGGAGAGAGACATTAAACAAACGAACACATAAATAAATAATCATATATTGTGATAAGTAGTGTGGAGGAAGAGAACAGGGTGTCATAAGAGAAAAAAGCAGGAAGGACATGATTTAAAGAAGGAGATTGCACATCGCCTCTCTGAGGCAGAGACCTGAAGAATAAAGAGGAGTTTTTCTGGTGAAGAGTAGAGGAAGGGAGCCTGATGGAGGGGGAGCAGCCTGTGCAAGGGCCCTGAGACAGGAACACCTGGGAAGCTGGAGAGATTGTGTAGACTGAGGCTGAAGAGGAAGTCAGAGCTTTATTTAAGAGCAATGGGAAACCACTAAGGGTTAATAGCAGAGGGGTGGTGTGATCCAGTTTGTCAAAAATCACTGTGGCGGTTGGGTTGAGAATGGATTTGAAGCAGGCCTGGCCTGGAATCAGACAGACAAAATGGGAGGCTGTTGGAGTAATCTAGGTGACTAATGGTGGTGGCTGGGCTAGGGTGACTGCACGGAGATGGACAGAGGTGGGTGGATTTCACAAATATTTTGAAGTTTCAATTGGCCTGGCTGGTGATGGATTGGATGTGGGTGGGGACACATGAGAGGAAGTGTTAAGAATGAGCAAATAAAATAAGGAGAGCTGGCTGTTGAAAATGAATCAGGAAGTGGTGGCTGCTTTCTTTCCCCAACAGTCACTGTGATACCAGAGTGAGGTCACCATTACAAAGAACTCTGGGCGGTGACACCCCTGAGCTGAGTCTTCTGTTGGAGTGATTTAGTAGGGAACACCATTGAAACCAGGGTGCGTATATGTACATCTTCAGGTATTTACCGTTTTCATACAGGCCAAGTCTTTGTTTTGGAAGAGTGTAGCTGATGAAATCTCACTGGTGTGCTCTAACACGGCTGATGAAGTCACTGCTTCAAGGAATATAGGACTAAGAAAAGGAAAAATAATATATAATGTTGGGAAAAATAAACCCATAAATGAAAAATAAAACTCTTGAGGCAAGTAAGTCAACCACTTAAGTGTTTTTCACATTAGAGAAGATAAGTCTATGAAAGAGTCTTGTACCTTTTTCGTTTTGCTTAAACTTCCTTTTGGTTACAAAGACTTCATTGTATTTCTATAACTACCATCAGAGGAGGGTCTTTATA